ACAAAGAAATCCCCCCCCCTCAAAAAATCAACGAAAGGAGGTGCAAAAAAAGACACCTCATGGCAAAAAGTAGTGATAAAGAGAGAATTATTTTAAAAAGCACTAGAAAAGAAAAGTTACATATAAGGGAAATGACATAAAACTATCAATAAATTTCTTAGAAACTTTACAGGCCAGAGAGGTGTGGCATGTTACATTAAAAATGCTGAAAGATACAAGAAAACTTAAAACAATATATTTATGCACACAATATAGGAGCACTGAAATACATAAAGCAACTCTTAAGAGCCATAAAGGAAGGTAATCACAGTAATACAATAGAGGACTTCAAGACCTCACTCACATCAATGGATAGATTATCTAGCCAGAAAATCAACAAGGAAACGATAACTTTGAATAACACGATGTACCAGATGGACCTACCGGATATATTCAGAACATTTCATTTAAAAAATATTGGAATACACAATCTTTTCCAGTACATGAGGCATTCTCCAAAATGGATCCTATGTTAGGCCACAAAAAAGTCTCAAATTCAAAAAGATTGAAATTGTATCATGCATTTTTCTCACCACAATATTATGAAACTAGGAAGTAATTGCAAGAAAAAAAGATGGAAAGAGCACAAATACATGGAGGCTAAATAACACTCTAAGAAATATTGAATAGATGAAACAAGAACTAAAAAAGGAAATCAAAAAATATATGGAGAAAAATGAAAATAAACTACAATGATCCAAAATCTTTGGAATGCAGCAAAACTTTTCTAAGAGGCGACATTATAACTATACAGGAATACATCACAGAGCAAGACAAATATCAAATAAAAAACATAACATTACACTTAAAGGAACTAGGAAAACAAAAACAAAAACCAAGCCAGTAGAAAGAAAAAAAATAAAGATTAATAAAAAACAATGAAATTTAAACTAAAAAACAAACAAAACCCAAGAAGACCAAATTAATGAATACAGGAGCTGTTTTTGTTTGTTTTGTTTTGTTTTAATTTTTTATTGTTATGTTAATCACCATACATTATATCATTAGTTTTTAATGCAGTGTTCCATGATTCACTGTTTGTGCATAACACCCAGTGCTCCACACAGAACGTGCCCTCTTTAATAGCCATCACCAGGCTACCCATCCCCCCACCCACCTCCCCTCCAGAACCCTCAGTTTGTTTTTTGGAGTACACCCTCTCTCATGCTTGGTCTCCCCCTCCGATTTCCCCCCTTTCATTCATCCCCTCCTGCTATCTTCTTCTTTTTATTTTTTCTTAATTTATATTGCATTATTTGTTTCAGAAGTACAGATCTGTGATTCAACAGTCTTGCACAATTCACAGCGCTTACCATAGCACATACCCTATGCAATGTCTATCACCCAGCCACCCCATCCCTCCCACCCCACCCCCACTCCAGCAACCATCAGTTTGTTTCCTGAGATTAAGAGTTCCTCATATCAGTGAGGTCATATGATACATGTCTTTCTCTGATTGACTTATTTCAGTCAGCATAACACCCTCCAGTTCCATCCACGTCATTGCAAATGGCAAGATCGCATTCCTTTTGATGGCTGCATAATATTCCATTGTGTATATATACCACTGCTTCTTTATCCATTCATCTGTCAATGGACATCTTGGCTCTCTCCACAGTTTGGCTATTGTGGACATTGCTGCTATAAACATCGGGGTGCACGTACCCCTTCAGATCCCTACATTTCTATCTTTGTGGTAAATACCCAGTAGTGCAATTGCTGGATCTCCCTTGGGTGGGCAGAGGGGCGGGCCCTGGTCCTGCTGGGCTTCATGCTGATGATGCAGAGGGAGGACTGAGGGACCGTGGACCCCAGCCCAGCGTCAGTCCTGGAAGGTCCGTGGTGGGTGGGGGGATGGGAACACGTGGTGAGTCCTGACTTCTGCATCCGGGTCTCAAAGACGCTGGATGCCTTGGCAGAAGGAGAAGGGCCTCCCTCATTGGGCAGAGGGGAGGCCTCAGGTCTTGCTGGGCTTTACGGTGAGGATGCAGAGGGAGGATTGAGGGACCCTGGACCCCAGCACAGCGTCAGTCAGGGAAGGTCCATTGGGGGGAGGGGGGCTGATTGGAACACATGGTGAGTCTGGACTTCTGAATCCGGGTCTCAGAGAGACTGAGGTGAGGGCCTGATGAAAGGAGCAGATGTTCAGGTGGGCAGAGGGGAGGGCCCTGATCACCCCGTGCTGGGCGTTGGCTTGGGGAGGCCAGGGATAAACCCTGCAGGAGGACAGAGGGGAGCCCCGCAGAAGCCCACCCATGATGTCAGTCTAGGGAGCCCCCCCCGGGCGGGATGGAGACACGTGGCCAGTTCGGCGGACTTCTGCATCTGGGTCTCCCGAGAACCTGGGGTCCTTGGTGGATCGAAGCAGCAGGGCCTCCCTCAGGGGGGCAGAGGGGCAGGTCCAGGTCCTCTTGGGCTTTACGCTGAAGTTGCAGAGGGAGGACTGAGAGACCCTGGACCCCAGCCCAGAGTCAGTCCCTAGAGGCCTGAGTGGAGGACGGGGACACCCCGATTGTTTTCGTGCGTGCGCTTGTGTGTCCCCCACTTGTCCATCCGGGTGTCCCAGACACGGGATGCCCCGGTGCCCGGGAGCCTATCCGTAGGCAGTAGGGACAGGCAGAGGCATAGGCAGCCAGGGAGTCCTGGTGGAGATCAGAAGAAGGCCCGAGAGACCTGGACGCCCCATCTCAGCCTTGGGTAGCCCTGGGCTTCGTGGCCGCACGTGTTGGCTACAGACTTAACCTAGTGGGCTCAGGGCAGGGAGGGCCTTGGTGATGGCAGACCAGCTTGGGGACAGCAGACGGAGGGGCCTAGGACCTGCCAGGGCTCGAAGCGAGGACCCCCAAGGGACTCCCCAGGGAGCCCGCAGGACCGCGGCCTTGATTCAGCCACGGGAGACTCCTGGGATGGAAGAGCCCACACAGCGCGTGGCCACTTTGGCCTCAGGGCCTCTGAGAACCCCTGACCATTTGGATGGAGCACTGCCTCGAGTATGCGGGTGGGGGGCGGTGGCCCACGTGTTGCTGGGTGGAAATGAGAGGACCGGAAGGAGGACTGCGGGATTGGGGACAGCGAACAGATACGGTCCCAGGAGGCCCCGGGGCCAGATGGTCACCTAGGGCGTGCCCTGACTTCCCAGCCACGTCTCCTAGAGCCTGGGGTCTGGGTGGAAGGAGCAGGCTTCAGGGCCGCCCAGGCTGAGCCCGGTCCTGCCAGGATGGAAGGGGAGAACCAGAGGGAGGACTGAATGGGCTGCAGTATGGACAGGCCATGGAGGAGGACCCTTGTGGAGGATGAGCCCATGCCTCCTGTCTGGGGGTCCACATCTGGCTGTTAGAGCCTGAGGGCTTGTGGTGAGAATGAGCGGGCCTGGGGTGGGGCGGGCCTGTGTGTGTGTGAGGGTGGAGTGTGGGGTCGGGGGTGGCGGGGCACGGGTCCGGTTGGGAGTCAGGGTGAGGACCCTGGGGGAGGACTGGCCGTACCCCCTCCACCCCATCTCAGCAAAGAAGCCAGGGCACCGGAGTCTGGCTGGGCCTGATCCAGGGAGGATCGGTCAGCGGGGGCCCAACCTGGCACGCATGCGCACTTGTCTCATGGGCCAGAAGGCGGGAGTCCTCGGGGAGCTGAGGTCTTGGTCTGAGGGGCACATGGCTTCTGTCTCACATTGGGGACCTGGAAGAAGGGCAGGCCCTGGCAGGAAGAAAGAAGATTAGCGTCCTGGGGGCCTGAGGGCATCCCCACCCCAGGACAGAGGGGCCCGTCCCTACTACCAGCCCTTTGGGATCTTGCCAGGAGCTGAGGGGGTGATGGAGATGTGGCTGTTGATGAGGACGTGCTGGCTCCTCACCCTCTTCTCGGAGCTCTCAGGGAGGTGAGGACCATGCTGGGAGAGGTCGGGGTCAGGTCATCTGGGGAAGCGCACCTGGGAGACACACAGGAGTCCCTGCTCCTGCCAAGAGTCAGTGTGGGGACACCCGAGGGAGGAGTGAGTGACTCCCAACCCACCCTCAGGACCACGAAGGGATGGCCCAGAAATCTGTGCAGCCCCTACCTGGAGGCCCTGGGAACCCTGGGTGGGGCCTATCAGGCTGAGTCCCTCCTCCTCTCCAGATCTTTCCTCTCAGGATGGGGAGGGCTCAGGCATGAGGGTCTGGACTCAGGTAGCAGAGAAGGCAGGTGCCCTGGCTCTGGGTCTGGCCCTGATGGTGGGGGGCAGATGAGAAATGAGGGGATGCCTCCCACAGCAGGATCCTTAGGGCCCAGGCCTACCCTGCCGCTGCTGCCAGCCATGGGGAGATGGACGATCGGTGGGCCAAGTTGTTTCTCCTGACTTTTCCTTCTGGCGTCTCCCAGAGATGAGGTCTCGGCACCAGGAGGGTGGCCTCCGGTCAACACAGGGAGTTTTCCCAGGCCTTCCGTGGGGTCAAGGTATAGACAGATAGGTGCACCCATCCCAGCACAGACGGCACCTGAGCTTGGCCGTCCCTGGGATCCCGAGACGTGCCCTTAGACCTCTGGCAGGCGTGGGCAGAGGTGGGCCCCCTCTCATACCTTCTGTGGGGTCTCAGGGCTGCATGGTCTTGCTGTGACCCTGTGGCCTCAGGCTGTGGGGGTGGGGCCCAGGCCCTGCCAGGGGAAATAGCAGTCCCCTGAGGGGCCAAGGAGGGGACCGCCCAGCTTGGACGGATGCGGACCTCACAGAGTCTGCCCCAGCCCTCCTGCCCCACTGGGGGCCGGGGGCTGTGCTCTGTGTCTGCACCCCAAAGTGACTCCTCCTTTTCTCCTCCAGGGGCTTCCAGAATTCAGAGTCGAGGCCTAGGTCTGAGGCAGGAGCCTCTAAGGTCCCAGAGCAAGGGAGGTGCAGGTGAGTGCCAGTGGTCAAGGTGAGGTACTTGCTCTGAGTGTGGAGCCAGGGGCTCGCCCGTCCCACCCCAGAGGGGACCCCTTAGCACCCAAGTCTGATGCAGTTCACTGTCAGCTCCGGGATTTCAGGCCTCTGCTGCCTGGGCCACACCGTGAGGAACCGTCCCACCTCTTTTTCAGGTTCAGCCCAACACAAACGCCATGCCCCTGGGTCAGAGGGGTGAGCTCTGGAAGCTGGAGGAAGACCCAGGCCCGGCCCAGGGCCTGGTGGAGGCACAGGTGTTGGGGGCTGGGGAGGAGAAGGTCCCCCGCACCCCCTCCTCCTTCTCCACCTTGACCTCCTCCCAGTCCGCCGCCCCATCTGGCTCCTGCTCTGCCCTGTTTCTGGTCCCCTCGGAGGAGGGGTCTGCTGCTGGGTTCCAGAATCGTCCCCAGAGCTCTCTGAGTGCCTGCCCCTCCCCCACTGCCCGGGCAGCCACTGCCTGTGGCCAGCCTGACCAGGGCTCCAGCAGCTCCGATGAGGAGGGGTCCAGCCCCTGCGAGGAGCCTGAAGAAGCCTAGCCAGGCTCCAAAACATAATCCAGGGGAAGCTGGCCGAGCTGATGGAATTCCTGCTCCTCAAGTATCACATCAAGGAGCCGACCAGCCAGGCAGAGATGCTGGAGATCGTCGGCCAGGATGCCCTGGATGCCTTCCCTGTGATCTTGGGCCAGGCCTCCGAGTGCTTGCAGCTGGTCTTTGGTATGGATGTGAAGGAAGTGGACCCCAGCAACCACTCCTACATCCTGGACCCCGTCCTGGGCCTCACCTATGATGGGATGCTGAGTGGTGAGCAGGGAGTGCCCAAGACCGGCCTCCTAGTGGTGCTCCTGGTGGTGAGCCTCCTGCATGGCGACCGTGCCCCCGAGAAGGAGGTGTGGGAAACACTGGGGGTCATGGGGGTGTATGCCGGCCAGGAGCACGTCATCTACGGGGAGCCTAGGGAGCTTCTCACCAAGGTCTGGATGCAGGAAGGGTACCTGGAGTACCGGCAGGTGCTTGGCAGCGACCCTGCTCACTACGAGTTCCCGTGGGGTTCCAGGGCCCATGCCGAAACCAGCAAGTTGCAAATGCTGGAGTATTTGCTCCGGGTCAGGCGCAGGCAGCTGGCTTCCTCCCTGGCCCTGTCTGAAGGGGCTGTGAGAGATGAGGGAGAGGTGGCCTGAGTCCCATTGGTGGCCAGGCCCTTTCCAGGCTTTGGTGGGGTCAGCAGCTTCTCCTGCGGGGTGCTGGGCATGAAGTGAGGCCACATTTTGGTTCTTCCCTGTGTGTGTGTGAAAAGAGAGAGCCCCGGGAGTTCTAAGTAGGGCAGGGCCAGGGAGGGTTGGGGGAAGAAAGCAGGGTGAAGAGCCAGCCTCTCTGGGGGCCTGTTCTCTGCGATGACTGGCATCCAGACCTTGGTTTTCTTGAGGAAGCTCTCAAATGTTGTTCCTTGGAGTAGAAGTTTTAACCAGCTTCAGCAGGTAAATGTGTGGGTGACATCCACCCCACAGCATTTGTACTTACCCAGTTCAAGAGTTTTAAGAGTTTTGTCATGTTCTGGAAATAAGGTGGGAGATCTTCCCTCCTTGTTTGGGTTCTGGAATGAAATCACAGGGCATTGGCATAGGAATTTGTTGGAAAGGTGGAAGAATGGAGCAGTCAAGTGACGGGGTCAGGAGATACGGAAATAAAAGATTATTCATTTTTGCTTCTTACTCCTTCTCGTCTGTCATTCTGCAAAAGTAACATACATGTGTGTGCCTTCATTCACTTAGTTCTTCATGAAAGGCAGAGAAATGACATCTCTGCACAGAGGGAGCCCTGCTCATTGACTCCTTGATTCCCAGACATGGGCTGAGCTCTGCTCTCTGGAAGGCCCTGTGTGTGAGCAGTGAGGACATTAGGAAAAGCAGGACACGTTCCACCCTTAGGGGACTGTCTAGCAGCTGCACTCATGGCAGGAAAGTGGGGAGAGGTGCCCTGAGACCTGCAGAGGAAGTGGAAGAAGGGGGAGGGAGTGCAGCTCCCGGGGCAAGCACTGCAGTGGAAGTGCCCCTGGTCTGGGTGGCTCAGGGTGTCGGGTCACCTGCTTTCTTCTGTGTAGCTGATCACCATGAACCTAGGGGGTGACAGTGGCCCTACTTGGAGACAGGGTACCTTAGAGGTGGCAGCAAAGTCTGAAATGGATAATTGCTCTGAGAAGTTCCTTCTGGATCATGGACAAACCAGGGAGAAATCTCCTCCTGGGGCAGGAAAAGAAGGTATCCTGCACTCTCATCCCAAGGCCATTGAACACAGTGCACAGACTAGGTGTTTTATATCCGTCATCTGCAAGTATTTCTGGAGAAATACAGTGATATTTCTTTGAAGTGGAGCCCAGAAGACTCTAGACTGGCACTCTTGTCCTGACCATGCAAAGCCAGAACCCACTGCATTAAAAAGTCATTTTAGTTGATTATCTGGAGTGTAATTTGGACAGCTATAAGTAAGCAAGGTCTAGGTTTGGTGGGGGGAGAAATGAGTGAAAGGAGTGGTTTGGTGGAAGAGCAGCTGGAGGGAGGGAAGGAGCAGGTCTTTGACTCACATTCTAGGAGCTTCGTATTGTGTCCAACTGGGACAATTCCCTCACACCTGAATGCCATAAATATTCCCATATATCTCACATATATCCTCTGATTTAGAAAATGGATTGAGTTTTACTTATGAAGCACCCTCTTTGGCTGATTAGCTATTCCATGTCCTACTGAGCTGCACATTCTCTAACATGAGCTCAGTAACAGAAAAAAAAAATGTACCCCAGAGGAGAGAGTGGAAGGATCTGGGATCAAAACAACACTTGAAATCACTGCCATTTATCAAAGTTCCAATATATGCCAGGCACTGTGCAAGGTGCTTTCCATATATCACATGCATTCCTGCAGTCCTGCAAGATGAGGCTTATCAAACTCACTCACTTAACTCACTCACTTCAGAAAGGACCTGAGGCTCCTAGGACTTAGTCATTTTCCCAGGATCACATGGCTTGTGAGTGACAGGGCAGAGACTAGAACCCGGGTCTGAATTCATGTAGAGTCCACGCTGTTCCCACCCACTGCAGCCTGTGTTCAACCTTCTGAGTCCTACATCATTCCTGAGGACAGCATGGTGTCTTCCAGGTGACAAAAAGAAGGATGCTGTGGCTCAGGTACTAAAAAACCTGTTGCTAAGGAAGGAAGGTGACAATGAGAATCAAACAGGTTTTGGGTACTGTCTGTGGGCTTTATTAACCTAGAGTTCTTCTGCCTGAGCCTCAGAGTTCTTTGAAAACTGACTGCCCAGGCACTGGCATTTTTTCCAGACCTGGCACTTTCCCGAATTACAGCAGCCTTTCCCTGGTATTCCCCTGTGTGCTCCTCTGTCTCACTCTTGAACCTGGCCTGCTAATGAGCTCATCACTGGTCTCCATGGAACAGCTAGGAATCACCTTCTCTCCCCCAACATAGAACCTTACTCTCTGTAGTAATC